AGAGCAGTCCCAGGTGAGCAGAGCAGGTGGGAGGCAGGAGGAGCAGGGGCAGCTCCCCGGAGCTCAGGGAACCAGGTAGAGCATTCCCATTGAGCAGAGCAGGTGGGAGGTAGGAGGAGCAGGGGCAGCTCCCCGGAGCTCAGGGGACCAGAACAGAGCACTCCCAGTTGAACAGAGGAGGTGTGAGGCAGGAGGAGCAGGGGCAGCCCCTGGGAGCTCACGGGACCAGGGCAGAGGGACGGTAAGTGAGTGTCAGCTGTTGCTTATGGACAAGGAGGGACTGGGGACCCGGGGGGCTGCCAGGCAGGACCGGGCCTGGCCCCGCAGGGAACAGGTGCAGCCGCAGGGAACAGGTGAAGCCGTGGGCAGCACGCTCCCTGGGGCTGGGACTCCCAAAGGAAGAAGACAGGCTGCATTCTTGGGCCAGGGGCATCTGCTCTGCTCCTGGGTGAGGGGACGTGGGACAGGAGGGCAGCATGCCAGCACAGAGTGGGGGTGGCACAGGGTGGGGTCCCAGGAGTGAGGGCACAGGGGCTCCTGCTTGGGGCCTGAGCAGGGGTTGCCAGAGCCTGAGGTGCAGGGAGGGAGGGGACGGCCTGGTGGGGTCCTCGGTTTCCTGGGGTGCGGGTGCACCCACCTGCACCGAGGGCCCAGGGCGGCTGGGCCAGCACCAGAGAGAGAATAGGGTCTCCCCGGGCTTGGGGTGCTGGCACCGGGCAGGGAGGGCAGGGCCGAGGGCAGGTGCCAGGCTCTGCCCATGCTGGGGGTGGGGGCTGTGCCGAGCTCAGCAGGGACCTGCCCTGAGGGAGGGTGTGGAGAGAGGGTGCCTGGACAGGCGGCCCACAAGGCCAGGCAAGGAGGCCGGAGAGCCGGCAGGGGTTCAGGGGCGGTGGGTGGACCTCAGGCAGCCACGTGGGGACACGGAGGTTCCAGAGCCTGGGCTGGCGGGAGCTGGGGCCACAGGGAAGGGAGGGAGGGGCGCAGGCGGAGATGCTGGGGCTGGGGGCTGCTCCGGCACAGGAACCGAGTCCAGGGCCCGGGGCCGCCGCCCCAGCCACGGAGCCGACTCCAAGGGCACTGGGCCCTGGAGGGCAGAGGGCAGGCCAGGACCAGGGCTCTGGGCCAGGCTGGTTCGACAGGCAGCGACTGCAGCGGGCTTCGGGGAGAACAGGGACCACCAGTCAAACAGGGCCCCCAGGGAGGCCGCAACAGGGACAAGGGGCTGGGGGCCCACGGGAGCCGTGCCTGAGGCGGGCAGAGCTGGGCAAGGGCCGAAGCCCCAGGCTGTGCTGACTCGAGGTGATCCCTGAGCACGTCCAGCCCCCGAGACTGCGTCCCAGGCCCTCGGGCGGCTGGTCCTGGAAGCGCATCCGGGGCTATTGAGGCACGGCAGGCGCCGGGTGGGCAGCTGAGGCCCGTGAGCCCGGTCGCTGGCCCCGCCTGGGAGAGCCGGGCACGAGGGACCTCAGGGGTCCGGGCTGGCTCTGATAGACACCGCAGTCACTCGGCGCCTCCTCTCTCTCTCGCAGCCAAAACCACGGCCCCGTCAGTCTTCCCCCTGGTGCCCGGCAACAAGGGCACATCCGGCTCCACGGTGGCCCTGGGCTGCCTGGTCAAGAACTACTTCCCCGAGCCGGTGAAGGTGACGTGGAACTCGGGCTCCCTGACCAGCGGCGTGCACACCTTCCCGGCCGCCCGGCTGTCCTCGGGGCTCTACTCCCTCAGCAGCATGGTGACCGTGCCCGCCAGCAGCTGGCCCAGCCAGACCTACACCTGCAACGTAGCCCACCCGGCCAGCAGCACCAAGGTGGACAAGACCGTTGGTGAGAGGACGGCGAGGGAGGGGTAGCGGCCCCAGCCCAGGGCAGCGGGAGCCCCCATGTGAACCCCACTCGGGAAGGGGGCCTTGTGGCATCTCCAGGGTGGGCACAGGCTGGCTGTCTGTGGGCACAGGGAGGGGCGCTGGTATCCGGGAGGGGCCTGCCCTGGCCTCAGCCCACCCCGAGGGCCAAACTCTCCCCTCCCTTACTTGGACGCCTCCTGCCCTCCAGACCCTTGTAACCCCATCTTCTCTCTCTGCAGGATCCCCGTCCACCACCTGCAAGCAATCTTGCCCACGTAAGTTGGCCCAGGCCTTGCCCCCAGCCCAAGGAGCGGGAACCAGGGCCCAGGAGGAGCCCCCAAGTCCGAGGACGGGCCCCGCCTGGGCGCTGACCCGCCTGCCCTGTCTCTGCCTCACCAGCTTGTGAAGTCCTGGGGGGCCCGTCCGTCTTCATCTTCCCCCCGAAGCCCAAGGACACCCTCATGATCTCGCTGACCCCCAAGGTCACGTGCGTGGTGGTGGACGTCAGCCAGGACGAGCCTGATGTCCAGTTCACCTGGTACGTGGACAACGCGGAGGTGCGCACGGCCCAGACGCAGCCGCGGGAGGAGCAGCACAACAGCACGTACCGCGTGGTCAGTGTCCTCCCCATCCTGCACCAGGACTGGCTGAAGGGCAAGGAGTTCAAGTGCAAGGTCAACAACAAAGCCCTCCCAGCCCCGGTCCAGAAAACCATCTCCAAAGCCAAAGGTGGGCGTGGCGGGCGTGGCGAGCGTGGCGGGCAGGGCGGGCGGGTCTCGCAGGCTGCCGTGGTCACACCACGGAGCCCGGCGTGGCCAGCCCTCTGACCTCTGCCCCGACCTCTGCCCCCACAGGGCCGGTCCGCGAGCCGAAGGTGTACACCATGCCCCCGCCGCGGGAGGAGTTGAACCAGAACCAGGTCAGCTTGACCTGCATGGTCAATGGCTTCTACCCCGAAGACATCGTGGTCGAGTGGGAGAGCAACGGGCAGCCACAGAGCAACTACAAGACCACCCCGGCCGTGCTGGACTCGGACGGGTCCTTCTTCCTCTACAGCAAGCTCACCGTGGCCAAGAGCGCCTGGAACGGGGGGACCACCTACACCTGCTCCGTGATGCACGAGGGCCTGCACAACCACTACACCCAGAAGTCCCTCTCCGTGTCTCCGGGTAAATGAGCGCTGCGCCCGGCAAGCCCCTCGCTCCCCGCGGGCCCTCAGGGTCCCGCAAGGATGCTTGACGCGCACCCCCCGTGTACATACCTCCCGGGCACCGGCATGGAAATAAAGCACCCAGCTGCCCTGGGCCCCCGCGAGACTGTGATGTTCTTTCCAAGGGCGAGGCCAGGGTCTGAGGCCTGAGCCGTCGTCACTAGGGACAAGGCAGGTCCCACGCAGGCCCGACCTGGGGTGTGTGGTCTGCCCGGGCGGCCCAGCACGGGGCTCGTCCACCGGGCCCTTGGCCGAGGAGGGGGCTCAGCCAGAGGCGGCCCCTCTTCCAGGCCCTCCCTCCAGCCAGCAGCTGCTCTGGGCTGGGCAGGCGGAGCCCCAAGGAGCGGCCCGAGGGAGACAAGCACATAGTCCCGTCCACTGTAGGGCCCCTGTCCACGGGGCCTCTCCGTGTCCACGCAGCAGACACTCGGCCCCTTGGGTGCAGGGTCAGACCCTCTTTCCCTCCATCCCCCACAGCACCTGTGGGGACACTACCCACACCTGGGCACACTCACTCCTGGGCCCCAAAGGGCCAGAGGCACGAGGCCCTGTCTGCCCTGGGGGAAGGGCTGTCCTGACACCCACGTGGACACTGGACCAGACCCGCTCAGACAAGCTGAGCACGATCCCACATGGCCACCGCACACATGCGCGCGCGTGCACACACACACACACACACACACACGCCTGACACACCGGGGCCTCACATGGGACCTCTCACGGGGCCGCCCGCACAGCGCCCAGACCAGGCGAGGTGCCCAGCCACACTCGCACTCGCGGACACTGGCCCGGCCCGTGCGCCATGAGCTGCTCAGCAGCACGTCCACACGCTGACCCACCCAGAAAACTCCCCGCCACGGGGCCCCCCAGGCCCCCGCACACCCTGACGCACGGGGCACACGCCCGTCACCACCCAGCCCTGGCTCGCGTCCCGGGCCGCGCTTCCCTGTCACCAGGGTGGACTCTGCCAGCCCTGCACCCTCCGGGCCTGGTCACCAGTGGGGGGCCAGGTGCAGCGCTGGCCTGCGGGGCCGGGGACAGATCACAGTGCGAGCGGGGCCGCCACAGGCCGGGCCGCCATCCAGGCCTGGGGTCTGAGCACGCCCGGCCCAAGCTGGAAGAGCCAGGGCCCGGAGCTGGCGCTGGTGCAGCCGGGGGCCGACCTTGGCGCCGCCGCCCGCCAGAGCACTCGCCCCAGAGGCCCGAGCCGGGCGGGACTCGGCACTGACCGCCCCTTCCCTGTGCAGAGCTGCAGGCGGACGAGAGCTGTGCCGAGGCCCAGGACGGGGAGCTGGACGGGCTCTGGACAACCATCGCCATCTTCATCACCCTCTTCCTGCTCAGCGTGTGCTACAGCGCCACCGTCACCCTCTTCAAGGTGGGCCACAGCCCACCCCAGGCTGTCCCCACGCTGTCACCCAGGCAGTCCATGAACTGTCTCCAGACTGGCCCCAGACTGGCCCCAAGCTGTTCCCAGACTGTCACACACTATCCCCAGACTGTCCCCTCACTGTCCCTACACTGTCCTTACACTTTCCCCGGGCTGTCACCAGACCGTCCCATGCTGTCCCCAGACTGTCTCCCTGCTGTGTCCAGACTGCCCACATTGTCCCCACACCATCCCCATGCCATCCCCATGTTGTCCCCACATTGTCCCCAACTGTCCCCTATCACCAGGCTGTCCCCAGACTGCCTGCATCCCGTCCCCGTGCTGTCCCCAGGATGTGCCCACTCTGTGCCCTGCCGTCCGTGCCCAGCCTCCCTCTCCTCCTGGCCTGTGTGCAGACTTGGTGGGCACAGGGTGGTCTCGGGCCAGGCTGCCTGTGGCTCACCCGTGCTGTCGCTGCAGGTGAAGTGGATCTTCTCCTCGGTGGTGGACCTGAAGCGGACGATCGCCCCCGACTACAGGAACATGATTGGGCAGGGGGCCTAGCACCACCCTCTGCGTGGGTGTCCAGGGCCGCCCAGACCCCGCGCGGGAGCCCGTGTGCCATGCTCAGCCTGCCCAGGCCACACCTGTCCTCCGAGCTCTCGCCCCTGGCCCTGCGGCTCTCTGGCCTTGCAGCCGCCCTAGCCGCTCCCGCCCCTGGCCCTGCCACCCTGCCCTTCCCCTCGGAGAGCCTTGTGGGTGGCAGGTCTGCCCCAAACCTCAGCTGCCTGGACGCATGCACCGCTGCGGGGGGCCGTGTGTCCCCTCGCCAGCATCCTGGCCCTCCCGTCGGCTGGGCACGCTCACCCAGGAGGCAGAGGCCGGCATCCGGGTGTCCATCGGGGCTGGGCCTGGCTTGCTGACAATCCGTCCACACCAGCCTCCCAAGCACAGGGGTTTGCTCAGATGGTCGAGTGGGAGCATCTGCCACCAAGGCCAGGAAGCCACCAGGCCATCGTCCCCGGCAGGGAAGTTCCTAGACGTGCAGCTAGTGGTCTCCCGGATGGTGTTCCTCCCGGCCTGCATCCTGCCAGGCTCCGTCCTGGGCACTTCTGTGAACCTCCGACCTGAGGAATGGGCTTGTTTTCCTTGCAAGCGAAGAACACTTTTCTCAGCCCCTGGGAAGGAGCCTCCGGTGTAGCGGGTCTCCGTGTCCCGACACTGCCTCTCTACCCGCCCACCCCACTGGGCTCTCCAAGGTGTGACCGAGCCCCTGGGCGGGTGACCGCAGTGGCTGTGCTGGGGAGAGAAGGGCCGGGCCGAGGACGCTGCCCCCTCCACCCAGGGCCGGCTCCACTCCAAGGAGACCATGCGGAGAAGGGCCTGGGCCGGCGGCCGCTGCAGAGCCCTGCAGTGCAAGGGTGGGGACGGTGACCAGGCCCCAAGCGGGCAGTCTGGGCCTCAGCAGGTCCCACCACCAGAGGAGGCCGACAGCATCGAGGGAGAGGTGGAGGGACTCCGGGAGACGGGCTGGACACCGCCAGACCCCACCCCAGAGGCCGGCGTCCAGCCCGAGGACCGAGAGACAACAGGAGGAGAGACCCGAGGCCGCCGGGAGCTGCAGCTGCTCCCAGCACGTCTCTGGGCAAACGCCAGGCAGATTCCGAGACAGGGAGAGCCTGGCGCCCACCACTGCCTGCCACGGCCACGGGGAGGACGCGCAGGAATCACTCAAGGAAACGCCACAGTCGCAGCTTCTGTAGCTTTTCTTCTTGTTGACTTTCTGAAGGGCGTTCACTGTCCTTAATGTTTCTTTGTTTGACAATAAAACATCCTTCAACACTCCTGTGCCTGGGGACAGCATTCCTGCGTCCACACCCACGGTGGCCTTGCCCGAGGAAGTCCTCAGGCTCCCCACATCCCGGGGCTCCGAGCCTTCCGCCCCCACCCCCCACCCCCTGCGTGACACGCACGCCTGGCCCCTCCCTGGCCAACCGTCGCTACGTGGGCATCAGGGCTCCCGCTTGCCTTCGGGGACACGCTTCCTAATCCAAGCCAGACATGGCACCCGCCAGCCCTGTCACTGCCCTGGGCATCACAGGGCCCCGGGGCTGGGAGAGCTCCCAGACCACCAGGGCCTGTAGTGAGAAGAGTGTGGGGTCTGTGCGTGGCAGCTCAGGCAACAGACTCTCTTTCTCCCAGTCCTGGAGGCTGGCAGTCCCGGGCCACGGCGTCCCAGGGCCAGCTCCTCCCAAGGCCTCTCTCCTGGGCTTGCAGACGGCACCTCCTCCTGGCGTCTCCCTGCGTCCTGCCTCTGCGCGTCCTGCCCTCCTCTTCCCATGGGGACCGCAGTCCCGTCGGATCAGGGTGCACCCTAGTGACCTCGCGTTAGCTCATTACCTCTGAAAAGGCCCCGTCTCCAAACACAGGCACCTGCTGCGGAACCGGGGTGGGGACTTCAGCACGTGAAGCTGGACAGCGCAGTGTAGCTCAAAAGAGTCCACCCTCTGGCTCCCCAAAATTCACATCCTTGTCACGTGCACAATGATCATCCCATCCCAATATCCCCAGAGCCTTATCCCATCCCAGCATCAACGCCGAAGTCCAAAATCTCATCTAAACAACAGCTTCATCTGTACGGGTGAGGCCGGGTGCGGGGAGCCAGGAGGCAGGGGCAGAGGTGGAGAGAGGTGTTTCCGAAGGTGAACGCAGCTACACTAAAGTAGCAAGGGCAGATTTGAGGCAGTAGTGACTATTGCAGCAGGGGAGAGTCGGGCACGGCCTGAGCTCACCGGCCCTCCGTGCAGAGCTCGCGGGCTCTTGGGGAGAGGCAGGCAGAGGAGGGCGCGGGCGCCGTGGGGTCAGGGAGCTGAGCGAGCACCCAGGGCTGGCCGGGCCGTGCAATGGGCCGCTGCGTCTGGGGCGGCCTTCACTGAAGTCTGGGTTCCGTCCTCCCAGAGCCAGCAGACCCAGACGCCGCGTCCTTCCTGACGGGGACATCTGAAGGTAACGGGTCTCAGGTCCTGGGAGAGACACTCCGGGCTGCAGGAGACACGGACGTCGTGAGGGGACAGAGGACAGACTCGCCATGGTGGGTCCTTTGAGCAAAAGCCCTAGAAAAGGGGGGTGCGCGGCTGGAGCTCGGTCAGCATGGCCATGGCGGCTGACGGGAGCCCGGCTGGGAAATGCCGCCAGCGTTTCCTGCGGAGGGAGAGAGACCATTTCGTACAGGAAGGGGAGCGGCCAGACTTGTTCCAGCGGCATCCCTGTGGTGGGACAGCTCCGAACACGGACCCCGGGCTCAGCCGTGCCACAGGAGGGCCGTGCATGGGGCTCGTGCCAACGGCCCCCGGACGGTGAGCTCCAGGGACCTGGGCCTCCAGCTCCTCCGAACACGCTGCTGCAGCACTGCCAGGGGAGGGGAGGCGACTGCGGTGCGGGGCAGGCAGCTGGCGTGTCACCAGCCAGCCCATCCCAATCCCAAGGATGGGGGCCCAGTCGCCACTGTGCCCTGCACACACCTGCAGACAAAGTCCGGCCAGAATGTGGCCTGACAAACCCCGACCCCAAGCAGAGCGGGATGGATGCCGGAGAGCTCTCTGTCCAGGGGACAGTCGGCCCGTGGGGACCCTGCGTGGCCCTACCGGATAAGCAGGTTTCCACCCCGACATTCAAGGTGCCCTCAGGGCCTCTGGGGCTCTGGTGGGGCGGGCACTGGTCCACTATCCTGAGGGTGGATGGCCCTGCCAGGCCGAGGAAAGGAAGCCCAGCGCAGCGCCAGTGACGTGGTGTGATGTCCATGCCAGGTCGTGCCCGGGACCGTGAAGGCAGAGCTGGGAAGGAGCAGAAGTTCCTGCAGCACCAGCCCCGGCCAGCACCTGGCCAGGCACCCTGGGGAAATGGGGTCCTTCCCCACGGTGCCCAGGCCCCGCCTCTGCCCCTCTACCCCTCCCACCGGCCAGCTCCCCTCAGGAGCACCAGCCCAGACCTGAGGCCCCTCACGGGACTGCAACGCGGCTACACTGTGGGCAGCCCCGTGCACTCGCCAGCGGTCCATGGTGTGACGTGGCGTGACATGGTGTGACGTGGTGTAATGTGGTGTGACACCCATGGTGTGACGTGGCATGACATGGTGTGATGTAGTATGATGTGATGTGACATCCACGACATGATGTGCCGTGACGTGGTGTGACGTGGTGTAACATGGTGTGACATCCACGACATGATGTGCTGTGACACGGTGTGACGTGGTGTGATGTGATGTGACATCCATGACGTGATGTGCTGTGACATGGTGTGACATCCGTGATGTGGTGTGATGTGGTGTAATGTGGTGTGACATCCATGACGTGATGTGCTGTGACA